GCCCTCTTCTGACCTCTGTGGTGTTGCATGACACGGGTGCACTCACATACATGCAGGCAATACACTCATACACAAAATGAAAATAACAAATAAAACATTTTAAAAAATACATATTTTTTAAAATTTTGGGGCTGGAGAGATGGCTCAGTGGTTAAGAACACTGACTGCTCTTGCAGAGGACCCGGGTTTGATTCCCAGCACCCACATGGCCGCTACGAACCGTCCTTAACTCCAGTTCAAGGGGAATCCAAAGCCCTCTTCTGACCTCCAAGGCATTGCACGACACAGGTGTACTTACTACATGCAGGCAATATACACATAAAATAAAAAATAAAATATTAAAAAAAATTTTATGTGTATGAATATTTTGCTTGCCTGCATGTATGTGCACCACATGTATGTGCAATGCCCTTGGAGGCCAGAAGAGGACATCGGATCCCCTGGAACTGGAGTTACAAACAGTTGCTAGGTGCCATGTGGATGCTGGGATTGAACTCTAGTCCTCTGCAAGAGCAGTTGGTCCTCTTAGCTGTTGAGCCAACTCCAACCTCAGATCTTTTTGGGGGTTGGAGCAATGGCTCAGCAGTTAAGAACGCTTGCTCATATTCCAAAGGGCCTGGGTTCAGTTCTCAGCATCCACATGGCACCTAACAGCCATCCATAACTCCAGTTCCAGGAGATCTGATGCCCTCTTCTGGCCCCTGCAGGCATTGAAAACATGGGGTGCACTTACATATATGCAGGCAAAAGACCATATGCATAAAATAAAAATAATAAATCAGGGCTGGACATTGTGGTGCACACTTTTTATCCCAGCACTGTGAAGCCAAAGGCAAGTGGGTCTCTGAGTTGAAGGCCAGCCTGGTCTACATATTGAGTTCCAGGCAAATTGGGGTTACAGGGAGACCCTGTCTCAAAAAATAATAATAACAAATAAAAGGTTTATTTTTATTATATGTATGTGTGTGTGCATGTGTGTGTGTGTGTGTGTGTGTGTGTGTGTGTATGCCATCAGAGGCCAGAAGAGGGCATTGGCGCACCTGTAACTGGAGTTACAGGCAGCTGTGAACTGACAGATGTGGATGCTGGGAACTGAATACAGGTCCTTTGCAAGGGCAGCAGAAAGCTCATAACTACTGAGCCATCTCTCCAGTTCCACCCTCCCCCACTTTTTGAGACAGAGAGAGGTACCATGAAGCCCAGTCTAGCCTCAAACTCACGGCAGTCATCCTGCACCAGCTTCCCAAGTGCTGGGATCACAGCATGCATCACTGAGCATGGCTATCCTGGGTCTTTTAGCACCTAATAATTGGTTAAGGCCTGAGATAAACCCCTCACTCACATCCCTCCTCCTGACTCCTCTCCATCCCCCAACCCCATCCCTCATCCCTGGCCCCCTCCCATCACCACTTCTCTCTCAAGTGTCTGACCTCCATTGACCACTGGGTCTTTAAGGGCAGACTGAGGCCTGTCCTCACCCAGCAGGGGGACCCCAGGCTGGTGAGTTATTTTGTAGCTGAAGGAATTAGTGATGGTCTAAGATCTGGGTGTCTCCTGTGGAGTGAATACACAATGGGTTTGGGGAGAGGGTCAGAGAACTCGGTGCTTGGATCCTTTTAGACCAAACTGTTAGGAAGGTCCACATCCACCCACTGCACAGATGGCAAAATGGAGGACTTGGGTTCTCATGCAGGGTATGGGGTTTGCTAGGAGACTGAGGAAGACTTCTGTCAGGCAGCTGGAGGCTCCCCTGCTAAGTAAACACCAAAGAAATTGGGGAGGCAGTGGGAAGGGGGATAGAGACAGGCTGTCAGCAGCTTTGGGGTACCTGGGGGATAGTAAGGTGGCTACTGTAGGAAGGTGCCCCTTCCTTGACATATAGCATTGCTCTCTGCCATTTTTGGGGTCCCCTTCCTAAACTCTACCTTTCCAGGTCCCTGCATATCCATAACCAGCTCTTGCATACAATGTCCCACCCCCAGTCCCTCTTCTGTGGCATCCCTATGTATGTGTGTGTGCATGTGTGTGTGTGTGTGTGTGTGTGTGTGTGTGTATGCCATCAGAGGCCAGAAGAGGGCATTGGCGCACCTGTAACTGGAGTTACAGGCAGCTGTGAACTGACAGATGTGGATGCTGGGAACTGAATACAGGTCCTTTGCAAGGGCAGCAGAAAGCTCATAACTACTGAGCCATCTCTCCAGTTCCACCCTCCCCCACTTTTTGAGACAGAGAGAGGTACCATGAAGCCCAGTCTAGCCTCAAACTCACGGCAGTCATCCTGCACCAGCTTCCCAAGTGCTGGGATCACAGCATGCATCACTGAGCATGGCTATCCTGGGTCTTTTAGCACCTAATAATTGGTTAAGGCCTGAGATAAACCCCTCACTCACATCCCTCCTCCTGACTCCTCTCCATCCCCCAACCCCATCCCTCATCCCTGGCCCCCTCCCATCACCACTTCTCTCTCAAGTGTCTGACCTCCATTGACCACTGGGTCTTTAAGGGCAGACTGAGGCCTGTCCTCACCCAGCAGGGGGACCCCAGGCTGGTGAGTTATTTTGTAGCTGAAGGAATTAGTGATGGTCTAAGATCTGGGTGTCTCCTGTGGAGTGAATACACAATGGGTTTGGGGAGAGGGTCAGAGAACTCGGTGCTTGGATCCTTTTAGACCAAACTGTTAGGAAGGTCCACATCCACCCACTGCACAGATGGCAAAATGGAGGACTTGGGTTCTCATGCAGGGTATGGGGTTTGCTAGGAGACTGAGGAAGACTTCTGTCAGGCAGCTGGAGGCTCCCCTGCTAAGTAAACACCAAAGAAATTGGGGAGGCAGTGGGAAGGGGGATAGAGACAGGCTGTCAGCAGCTTTGGGGTACCTGGGGGATAGTAAGGTGGCTACTGTAGGAAGGTGCCCCTTCCTTGACATATAGCATTGCTCTCTGCCATTTTTGGGGTCCCCTTCCTAAACTCTACCTTTCCAGGTCCCTGCATATCCATAACCAGCTCTTGCATACAATGTCCCACCCCCAGTCCCTCTTCTGTGGCATCCCCATTCCTAGAATACTCAGCCTCCAAGCCTGTGGCCCCCCAGCCACCTGACCTTGTGATATTCCCACCCCTAGAACACCTGTGACCACGCACAACTGAGTGTTCCAAATGCTAGCCCTGTTTTGCTGACTCCTGGGCACATGCCATATTGGGGTTCCTAGGGCTCTACATTTCATCTTTGGATTTGTGAGCCTAAACGCTGGGGTGCTCGGAACCCCAAGTCCTTTCTCCTTAAGTCCTTTCTCCAGTTTTCCATGCCTCTTGAGCTTCCCAATATCTGGCTCCTTAGCACCCTGCTGATTCTGCCAACCCTAGATATCCAGATACCAGGAACCCCAGTTTCCACCTGGACTCATCATAGCCCCCACATCTGGTCCTTCTCAGCTTGGAATTCTGTGTCCCCGGGACACCATACTGTCCCCAGATTCCCTGACACCCCCATATCTGCACCACTGGACGCTGTCCCCTAATTCCCTTTGCCTAGGCCAGTTGGGCCCCTAAGCTCTGTCTCCAGGGTTCCCCACCAGCTCCTTGGCACCCTAATATCTGAGTTCTAGGGCTTTGCAACCCGGTTCCCAGGCCATCTCCTGTCTGTATACCCGGAACCCCATCTATTTGTGTCCTCAGAGCTCTGGTGACCTTAGGTGGCCCCCACCCGGCCCTGACCCTGGTGGCGGGGGAGGCTACTCACCCTGGTAGTAGAGCGCCTCTGGCCTGGCCACGCCGTGGAGGGGCCCGGGGACAGCTGGAGCGTCGCAGCTGCCACGCAGGGGGTCCAGGGGGCCGGCGTGGGCGCGGGGGGCGGCGGGCTCCGGGGACGCGGGGCGCAGGGGCCGCTTGCGGAGCGGCAGCGCGTTCCCGGGGCCAGCAGAGCTCTTGGGCCGGGTGCGCAGGTCCACCGGCCCCTCGTCCATGGCCCCCGAGGGGCATCGGGGCATCGGGCCGCCCAGAGACGGCGGCCGAGGAGCAGGCGAGCTCGGGAAGGCGGTCTCGCCTGCCGCCGGGACTTCCCCTGCCGCCGGCTGAACTGAAGGGACTTTTGTCGGCCGGGGCGGCGCCGGCCGCCTCCCCGCCCCCGGCCCCCCGGGGCCACCCGGCCGCCCCAGGGGTTTCCTGGACCCACGTCGCGGAGGCGGAGCCGGCGCTCCCTGTCCCCACCCGCTGGCTCCATCTTTCAGTCCTTGTGATCGCTCTTAGTATTTTTTGAGACAAGAGCTCATATAGCCCAGGCTAGCCTCCAACCCTCCAAGTAGCCAAGGATGACCTTGAACTCCTGATCTTCCTGCCTCCAACTCCCGAGTGCTGGGATGACAGATGTGCACCGTCTAGCCTGGTTTTTCTTTTTTTTTTAAATTAATGTATTTATTTTTATTTTACGTGTATGAGTATTGGAGCTGGAGAGATGACTCAGCGACTAACAGCACTGACTACTCTTGCGGAGGACCAGGGTTCAGTTCTACTCTTGCGGAGGACCGGGGTTCAGTTCCCAGCACCCACATAGGTGACTAACAACCTTCCCTAACTCCAGTTCCAGGGGGATCCGAGGCCCTCTTCCGACCTCCACAGAAATGGCATTACAAGGGTGCACTTACCCAGGCAATACATTCACACATAAAATGAAAATAGTACATATTTTAAAAAATGTGTATGGGAGGGTCTGGAGAGATGGCTCAGCGGTTAAGAACGCTGACTGTTCTTGCAGAAGACTGGAGTTTGAATCCCAGCACCCACAGGGCAGCTAACAACTGTCCTGTAACTCCAGTTCCAGCCTCTTCTGTCCTCCACCAGCATGTGCACTTATCTGCATACAGGCAATACATGCATACACATAAAATAAAAATAATAAATAAAATATTAAAAAATGTGTATGGGGGTTTTGCTTGCATGCATGTAAGTGCACTTGTGTGTGCAATGCTCAAGGAGACCCCTGAAACTGAGTTAAGGACAGTTGTTAGCTGACTTGGGAATCAAGTCTAGGCCCTTTGGAAAGAGCCAGTGTTCTTAACTGCTAATCCCTCTCTCCAGCCCCCTCTTTTTGTTATTTTGAGACAAGATTTCATGTAGCCCAGGCTGGCCTTGAACGCACTAAGTAGCTGAGGATGACCTGCCTCCACCTCCCAAATGCTGAGGTTGTAGGCCCATGCCACCACAATTCACAAACTTTTCAGGAGATTTGAACCCTGGACCCTCTACCATGGAGCACCTTCCCCCAGTCCCCCAGCCCCTTCTGCGATCTATGCCTGAGTTTCTCTTTGGCTATCAGAATCTATGATTATAAGCAACGCCCCCATCCTTGCTCTGTTTCTGCTGTCACTAGCCTCATCTTTCCTTGGAGTTTTTGGGTCTCAGCCACCTCCTCTTGCCGCAACCTTGCAGTTTCTTGAGGTCACAGGGTTGTTAGGACATGGATTCGAATCCTGATTCCCACTTCCCTGTTGAGTGACCTTGACTATATGCACTTCCCCTCTTGGAGTCATTTTTTATTTTCTCTGTGCAATACTGGGTATGGAACCCAGGAACTCATGCATGCTAAAAGCAAGCACCTACCACCCACCTACTACATCCTAGGCTCTTTTTACTTTTCATCTTAAGACAGGGTCAAGCTGTCTTGCTCTGTAGCCCAGACTGGCTTTGAATGTGCAGTCCCCCAGCCTTGCCTCCTGAATGGGCTGGCCGGCATACACCATTAGGGCACGATCAAGGTCAGCTCAGATTTATTCTTCCTGGAGGTCCAGCCTAGGGCACTCTGCCTCCTGTGTGACTCGTGGCTGCAGGGCAGGGGGTGGGTAGGGGTACACAGACTCTTTCAATGTCTCTCAACGTCTCTCTCTGTGGGGCCCCAGCCCCACGGGAATCCCAGATGTACAGAGCAAGAGAGACTTGGAAGCAGAGAGATACAGACAGTAAGAGGCAGGGTGCACAGGGCTCAAGGCCAGACCCTGGCAGGGGTGGGTTGGGTGGGATGGGCATGTTGACTGCCTCAGCTCTCCCATTTCCCCTCCCACCCCGGGGAGGGGCTGGCGGGTGGGGAACAGGCCTGGCTGGTTGGGGACGTGACTCAGACGCACAGGAGCTGGGGAGGAGGGACAGAGGCAGCCTCCTCCTGTCCCTCCCCTTCTGACCCGCCCGGGGGCGGAGCCCAGTTCGGGGTTTTCCCGGATTTCCCTGGAGGTGGAGCGGCCGCTGGGGTTGTGTCCCGGTCACTGAGTCACAGGGGGCAGATGAGGAGGTTTAGGAGAATCAGGGAGACCGAGGAATGAGGATTGCACCCCCAAACCTGCCCAGGGAAAGCACAGGGTCCCTAGTTCTCTGGAAGTTTCTGTTCCTGCATCTGATTCTTGCCCCCTGTCCAGTCTTCTGCCCTATTTTTTTTTCCCAGAAAAGATCTTCTTAAACATCCCCCCCACCCCCCCTCCCCGCTAACCTCCAACTAGCAGCAATCCTGCCTCAGCTTCCAGCAAGCTGGGATTACAGGTGTAAGCCACCATCCCTGTCTCTGTTGGTCTCCCCAACTCTGTCTCTGTCCTCAATGGTGTCTCTTTGAGACTGAAAGTAGGTGTGGAGTCTGGGAATAGACTTTGGCAGGCTGAACCCCACCCCGGTGGATGGTTAACCTGGTCTGTGGGACCAGGTGCTTGGCAACCTCACACTATCCCACTTCCTTTCTTCCACCTGGATGGCCCTCTCAAGATTGTTATGGTGAAGTAAGAGGGGTCCCAGACCTGGGTTCAAATCTCACCTCCAAGCCAGGAGTGGAAGGAGACTGAGGAAGGAGGATCAAACATTTCTGACTAGCCTGGGCCACAGAGTGACTTAAAGGCCATCCTGGGCAATTTATGGGGACCCTATCTTAAAAAAAAAAAAAAAAAAAAAAGGGAGGAACTAGAGAGATGGCTTTGTGGTTAAGAGCATTTGCTGCTTTTGTAGAGGACTCAGGTTCAGTTCCCAGCACCCACAATGGATAGAACACAACCACCTATATCTCCAGCTCCAGGGGATCTGACACCCTCTTCTGGCACTGCAGGCAACTGCATGCACTCGCACATATTCAAACACTCAAGCGCACACATATACACATTAAATAAATAATAAATAAATAAATAAACAAACAATTTCTTAAAAAAAACAACCACCTAAAAACAAATACACAAGCTGAGCATGGTGGCACACAACTGTTATCTGAGCACTTGGGTGGTAGAGGCAGACAGATCTCTGAGTTCGAGGCCAGCTTGGTCTACAAATCAAGTTCCAGGCTAGTCAGAGCTACATAGTGAGACCCTGTCTAAAAAGAAAAAAAAAATGACTTAGTGGTTGAAGGTGCTGGTCACCAGGCCCAACAACCTGACCTGGATCCCTAAGATCCACATGGTGGAAGGAGAAAATTAATACCTGAAAGCTGACCTCTGGCCAAATGTATGCCCTGGCATGTATTAGCACACACACACACACACATTAAATAAATCTAATTAAAAGAATATATATATATAAGGGGCTGGAGAGATGGATCAGCTTTCTGAGTTTAAGTCTTCTTTTTTGGAGACAGGGTCTCCACCACATCAGGCAAAATAAATCTTTAAAAAATAGATGCATTGGGGCCGGAGAGATGGCTCAGTGGTTAAGAACACTGGTTCTTCTTGCAGAAGACCTGGGTTTCAACCCCAGCACCCACATGGCAGCTAACAACTGTCCCTAACTCCAGTTCCAGGGGATCCAATGGCCTCTTCTGTCCTCTGTGGGCATTGCATGACATGGGTGCACTTACCTACATGCAGGCAATACACTCATATACATAAAATAAATAAATAAAATATTAAAAAAATAGATGCATAAAGGCCAGGCATGGTTGTGCATGCCTTTGATCTCAGCACTCTAGAGGCAGAGGCAGGTGAATCTCTGTGAGTTCAAGACCAGCCTGGTCTACATAGTGAGTTTCAGGCCAGCTGGGGCTACAGGGAGACCCTGTCTCAAAAAGACCAAACACAAAACAAAACAAAAAAGAACAAACAAAACAAAACAGGGGGGCCAGGGGTACACTTCAGTGGTAGGGCGCTTGCCTAGCATGCCCAGGTCCTTGGTTCCTATCCCCAGTCACCTTCTCCCTGTGTGAACTTGGCAGTTGTCCTGGGTCTTGGAACTCAGGCTGCTTTTTTGGAGACCAGGACGACATCACCCATGCCTGGCAGTGTGGCAGGGCCACAAGGCAAAGTGGAAAGGCTATGGCTGACTCCAGCCCTCCCCCAGTCCTCCTCTGTGGGACCCCCCCCCGCAAAAAAAAAACCCAGGAGCTGGAGCTCTGCCCACTGTTCAGAAAGGGAAGGTGAGGATGGGGGTGAGGCTTAGGGGTGAGACTCCCCCGCCAATGCCTGCCATCCCAGGACAGGGGTCCTCACAGGGCTAGAGAAGGCTGCGTCTGTGCCAGAGACATATGACACAGAGGCAGAGAGAGCACTGATGGTCCCCTATCCAAAGGTAGACAAGGGACAAAAGTCTGAGGGAGCGGGATCTGGAGGAGGAAGATAGGTATGGGAAGGGTGAGGGAGAAGGTGAGGGTCTAGGGAGGAGGGTCTGAGAGAGGAGGTTAGGGTCTGAGGATGTTTGGAAGGGATCTGAGGGTGGAGAAATTTGAGGAAGGAGAAATGTGTATCTTTTAAAAATTGATTGACTGTGTGTGTGTGTGTGTGTGTGTGTGTGTGTGTGTGTGTGTCCACATGCCACAACACCTGTGTGGAGGTCAGGGGACAACTTGATGGAATCAGTTCTCTCCCTCCACAATTTGGGTCCTGGGGCTTGAACTCAGGTCATCAGGCTTAGCAGCAAGTGCCTTTACCCACCGAGCCATCTTGCTGGCCCAGAGGGGCAGTTTTTGAGGACCCTCTTAGGGGAGGTGGCAGGTTTTGTGCTGTAGGGATGGAGGGTGGGAAGGAGCCTGGAGTGAGCCCCGCCCTGCAGCTGCCTCTGATTTCCCAGAATGTTCTGCTGCTCAGGAAAGTCCCGGCTCCCACAGCAGCCTCCCCTCCAGTGTCGGGAATGGAGGATGCGGAACCAGGATGGTCACCCCCCATTCTTTCCCCGCTGGCTTCTCACACACCAGATG